AAACGGATGGGTGTATTTAATGTGGAAGGAAAACACTTTTTTTAAAAAAACTGTACAACTGTCCAGTGCGAAAATGAAAGAAATCTTCATCTTGCAATTCCTGATTGTTTCATACTCACTAAGGTCTCTCAGTTTCACAGCTGGAAACCTCACACTCCTGCTGCCAGCATGCCAAATTACGAACACTCAAATGTATAAAGAAAAAGCTCTGAGCAGAATCCACGCTGAAAGACACTGCCTTATTCTCCAGGGACAGATGAGAAGAACTATGCGTTTAAGAAGTACTGCTTCCCCCGAAGCAAACTATTGTGTGCATCTGCGCTTCTTTCTATCCTACCTGTTGTACTCTTCCTTTGTTACTCAAGTGCTTTGGCTTCCAATGGCTAGTGGAACTTCTCCAAACGTTGTCACCTGTTTACCATAAGCAACGATTTGAAAACTGGTTTTCAAAACTGCACTTAATACAATAACAAGATTATCTAAAACTTTTGGTTTTTATATTCCAAATATTGTTGATGGCATGACAATTCTGTGGGCTTCCTGTCCGACTTAGCTTTACTGTATGAGACCACACGGATGAATACCGCAGGCAGGTTGAGAGGGTTGCCTATTCTCCCAAGTGAGCCTTAAAACGGAAGCAGAGCCTCTTGATTCGGCTCTTTCAGGACTGGCCAGCAGGGGGCACGCGCACTCTGCGGAAAAACCAGGATGGCCTTCACTGCAACGCACGCTTAAGGAAGTCAGCCTCAGAGCTCACAGCCCCGGAAACTATTCTAATTTCTGATAAAGAATCACTAACACAACTTTAACTTTTAAAATTTCATCCTACCGCCGGGCGCGGTGGCTCACGCTTGTAATCCCAGCACTTTGGGAGGCCGAGGCAGGTGGATCACCTGAGGTCGGGAGTTCAAGACCAGCCTGACCAACATGGAGAAACCCCGTCTCTACAAAAAATACAAAATTAGCCGGGGTGGTGGCACATGCCTGTAATCCCAGCTACTCGGGAGGCTGAGGCAGGAGAATCGCTTGAACCCGGGAGGCGGAGGTTGCGGTGAGCCGAGATCGCGCCATTGCACTCCAGCCTGGGCAAAAAGAGCGAAACTCTGTCTCAAAAAAAAAAAAAAAAAAAAATTTCATCCTACCCAATTTGTGACATCAGAATTTCATCCAGATGTAGCCAAACAATTAAGAATTTGAAACCAAAAAATTGGTAGCACAATAAGTGGGCCAACTGGACACACATTTGGGGGCCAAGTATCAGCAGGTGTCTGCCAGCATCACTTTTCTTCCTAAAGGAGTTTGGCCTCGAAAGTTGGAAACACAGCGTTGTATCTGTCAATTTGGGGATTAGCTGCTTTGTGCAAACACAAACACGTGATTTGTTCTTGGAATCAGAACGGAATGCACTGGAGTCAGCACAAAGATCTGACAGTGAGAGCCAACATCAACAAACGCGGCTTCCGAATCGCACAAACCTGGGTCCAGAGTCCCACTTTTTTGGGAAGTGGAGGCTTCGGGCTCAGCACTTGTGGTAACTGACCCAGCTTCCTCCAGGGAGGACCTGGGCCATCTGACCCTGGCGGGAGAGCTTCCTGCTGCTGCAATTCTGAAACTAAAGGCAGGATGCTGCTTGGGTGCGCGGGGAGGCCGAGCATAAAAGAGCGTCCACTACCCAAAGAACAAGCCTCTCTGAGTACTCAGAGGACACGCTCCCACACGCACACAACAGACAGCCCTGGGGAAATGCTCTGCAAAGTGAACTTTCAAACTGAGTCAAACCATAAATTACATTTATCTTGTTTCCCTTCCATTTAACAAATGTGCCCATCAGCACACTACACAGATGCAGGGGTGAAGGGGGGAACGCAGCCTCATCTTGTGTGCTGCACAGGAGACACAGATTCTTTAAAGGTTGAGTATAATACACATTTTGGAAACTAAGTATCTAAAATGTTTTAGGAAAACCTTTAAAACTTCCCAAGTACCTGTTTTCTAAATAGGCAGTCAATACTGAAGCAGCAGCGAGCTAAGAACTGACTAGCGGGTTATTCCATGCATAACTAAGCATCCCAAGGAAGTGCTCACTGCCTGGGAACCTGAGGCTGCTCTTCACTATCTGAGACTCACGCTTCCACCTGCGCAGTGTCATGCGGTGTAACTGTACACGGAGAGCGAGCTTGCAGCTGTGTGGACACGAGGACAGAGGCCTCCCCACGCACCTCCACCCTGCGATGCACCAGGGGCGCCCAGCGGCTGGTCCACAGTCACCTCTCCTCTACATCTTTCCAGGAGTGAAAAGCTGAGCTGAGAACGCAGGAGGAAGAGATGGAAGTGGCTGAGGAAAAACAGAACACCCGGAGGACCCAAGCTGGGGGCTGAGGGAAGCCTCTTTCCTCCCTCCCTCTGCAGCAGCAGCTGCCTCCGGTACCTTCGGGGTGGCCCCTAGAGTGAACGGGAAGGAAGTGTTTGACTTAACCTTACTGAGCTCTGCTCTGCTCTTCCCAGAATCCTGCCTTCTCTAGGCCTTTTCATGATTCTCCCCACCAAAAGCCAAATCCCCTTCCTAAATTTTAGACTCAACATTCTCCAACAGCCATCCACTTAGCCAGTCCATCCTGCAGCATCACAGGTACCCAGCGGGGGCAGCCCACTCAGGCAGGAAGGAAGCACTTTGTTCGCTCTTCCCAAAGCACCCACGGCTCCTCTTCCACCAGGCTGGGGATACCATGGCTAACAAGATGGGATCCCGGCCTCCCAGCAGACATGGTGAAACCTCGTCTCTATTATAAAGATACAAAATGAACATGGACGTGGGGCACGCACCTGTAATCCTAGCTACTTGGGAGGGTGAGGCAGGAGAATCGCTTGAACCAGGAAGTCAAGGAGGTGCAGTGACGCGAGATCAATCCACTAGCACTGCAGCCTGGTGACAGAGCAACGACTGCCCTACAAGAAAAAAAAAACCTGCTGTATGGCGCAGTGAGAAGGAGAACAGTGTAATATGTGTAATTTAATATTTTCTTATTAATTTTTAGAATGGCTTTTATTTTGAAATTAATGATTCCTGACTTTGCAATAATATATATTTCTGGATAGTTATCCTACTTTCATGTTCATATGCTACTCAAATCAAACCAGGAGTATAAGATAAACGTATTACATTTGATTAAGATGTAGCCTACAAGCAACAATTCTAGCACTATACAACATATATTCATATAACGTGGCCTGTTGTTGAACCATACAGTATATCTTTCCGTTCACTAATTAGCGAACAGTATGTTACTAGTTTCTATTTGGCACTGAAATTTGTTCATGGCCTAAGACTTGGTATAGCAAAGCGCACATAACGTTAACAATAGATTAAGAATATAAACTAGAGTAATATTTATTTAGCTTTATACTGTGTAAAACACGGTGATAACGTGCCCTTTATAAGATTTGGGCCATTATCTTTGTTTAAATAAATTCCATTGTTCCATTTAAACCCAGAATACTCCAAGTATAAACCTAGTTCATTTTTTTGCTAGACATTTCATTTATGCTATATTAACCAAATTACATAGCATTAGCGGAAAGAAATGTTTACAGAATAATTAGGCTTTATAATAAACACTATACTCAATGTACATGATGGAATCTCATCATTAGTTGATTGGACTGGGTTTTTAGATATAGTAATTTGCTTATAATAAATGTGTGTTACTGTTTTCACCCATACAATTAAAGCAAAGTCTGACTATTGAGTAGCTAGCTCAATTTTAACAAGTTTCCATTTTTATTACACCAAAAATAAATCCCATCAACGTACTTGCCCTTTAAGCGAACAAATAGTTCTATAGCCTCTTCACTAAACCACCTTTAACATGTTTAAATGCAACCACACAACCACACATAACTCACAGCCTATCTGCGCTTACTAACACACACACACAGCTCATACTTTTACCATTACTATATCTTTTTTGCCAACAGTTCAGAGAATGTATATGTACCACTATTGTAATTAGACATTCGCAGACTTTATTAAAATATTACTGATATAACATTATTGTAATTTCTTAAGTTAATTTCGTGTGATGTATGTCCAGCAGTTCACATATAAGGTGAAAAAAATAAAATACCACAAAATCACAACAATTTAAAACATACACAGATAATAATATACACAGCAAACACCGGCGCCCACATTTTTTATAAGTAAACATCAGAAAGTTACCTTATTAAACAAAGGCCCAATCTATGTCACTGAAATGGTATCAGATCGAAACAAAGCCACCAATTTAAGCAGATAGAGAAGCGATTCTCCAAAACCCTGCTTAGCTCACTGAGTAGCCTGGGACTACAGGCATGAGCACGCCTACCATCGCCTTGGCCTAATTTGTCCTATACTCTTAATAAAACGGAGCGTTATCACCTATTTACGGCCCAGGCCTGGTCTCAAATTCCGGACTCCCAGTGACTCTACCTGCCTCGGCCTACCATAGTGCATGTGGACCCAAGCATGAGCCACACCGGAAGCATCTCTCATCTAATCTCTAAATTCGACAGAACAAATCAGCGGAATCACCCCTGATCTCTTAGCAACCGCCATAGCTTGGATCCAACAAGCACCATTCTAGGTTTCCCTGGACCCAGAGGCACAGCAGTAGTAGGATCCCACTGAGCTTAGTGTGAACCCGCTTTGCCTAGGGCTCTCTCTTTAGCCCAGGGCA